TGACCAGCCAGAGGGGCGCTCTGGGAGACAATCGACAGGTTCCACAGCTGTTGCTTGAGCAGGAAATGGGAAGAAGACTCCCTAGTAGTCAGCAACCGGGCTGTCCCACAGCCAGATCCTAAGCCTCATAAAGAAACCCACCAGATCCACAGTGGCTGAGTGTGGGCAGGGAGGATCCACGAGAGGGAACTCAGGGGTCACCCATGAAGGCAAAACCCAAAAGGCTCGGTGTGGACAATCACGTGTGCTCTGGCGCCTCCTTGTGGACATACGTGAAAAGGCCAGCAATGGGCTCAGCCCACCTTTCTTTCCCCTTTTGCTTTTTCTCGCTCACTCCTTTTCCACTCAAACAAAACCTTTAAATCTTCAACACACTTGAGCTATATATCATTCATGGGTGCCATGAAATCATCCCCCAGATTCCATGAAGGAACAAGTATCATACTTGTTTGATCCTAGGCAAATGTCAGTATTTGCTCATCCACGAGAGAAGGAAAAAATAACCCCCTAGTCGTCTCAGTATCTGTCCTTTGGTTATTACTTCTGAGATCCACGTCTGGAGTTCTCAGAGTTTCCAATTCATCCACCATCCAAATGTCATCAACTTGGTGGGAGTGGACTGTGCAGAGCATGGTGAAACAAGGAGGTGCCTGACCATGGCCCGCGCTTCCCATCCCTCATTCAGTTAAGACCCACTGAGCACCTCCCTTGTCCGAGCCAGGCACCCAGGATGCCAGGAGGAGACACAGCTGTGAGATCGTGCAGGCCCCAGGCTGTCACCCAGCTGGGCTTTAAGCAACCCTGTGGTATCTTGATGTATCTCATCATTTTCTAGAACACTTAGGGATAGTAGTTCTTCCCCACCCCTTCCAGCCCCACCCCCACCATGAGGTACTATGAGGATTAAATGAGCTAATGTAGGAAAGCTTTTAACTCTGGAAGTGACTATTGTTGCTACTATATCCAGACTGTCCAAGGGATATATGTTCACATAAGAAATGGTTACCGATATTCCTTTATAATACACTACAAAACAATACTGTCTGTCCCCAGGCTTCATGGCTACCCCGTGACCCCTTCCCCTTGATGAGTTTTCAACCTAAACTAATGGTTCTTGAAAGCCTATTCCCCAGGTCAGCAGCATCAGCGTCACCTGGAAGCCTTGTAGAAATGCACAGCTTAAGCCAGGTGCTGGTGGCTCACACCTGTAATCCTAGCTACTTAGGAGGCTGAGATCTGAGGAGCTCAGTTCAAAGCCATCTGAGGCAGGAAAGTCAGTAAGACTCTTATCTCCAATTAAGTACCAAAAAGAGCCAGAAGTGGAGCTGTGGCTCAAGTGGTAAAGCACTAGCCTTGAGAGAAAAAAAAAAAAATCCACAGCTTAAGCTGAATGCCAGTGGCTTATACCTGTAATCCTAGCCACTCAGGAGGCTGTGATCTGAGGGTAGAGGTTCAAAGCCAGCCTGGCCAGGAGAAGTCTGTGAGACTCTTATCTCTAATAAACAGGAAACAGCACTGTGGCTCAAGTGGTAGAATGCTAGCCTTGAGTTGAAGAGCTGAGGGACAGCACCCAGACCCAGAGTTCAAGTCTCATGATCAACAACAACAACAAAAAATGCACAGCTTAGATACTGAGACAGAAGAAACCAGGAGAGATCAACAGTCTGTTTCAACAAACACTCCCATAGTTGAGGCACATGCTCAGATTGGAGTCTAACTGCTACAATGCAGGCAGGAGGGCTTTCTTGAAGAAGGGACACCATGGGCAGAGTACTGAAGGGAGAGCAGGACTCACTGGTAGACAGAAGCCGCATGACTGAGTGGGAAGCACTATCAGGGCGTGGACCTGTGGGAGGGAGGAAGCCACACGTGACTTGGCAAGGCTCCAGGGGAGGGCGAAAGGACAAACCTGGGAGCAGAAGGTGCTCTGAAAGGGGCAGGAGGAGCTGGCTTTCAGAGCTAAGTGTGTGGAAAGAATTGCGATTTTTTTTTTGCCAGTCCTGGGGCTTGAACTCAGAGCCTGGGTACTGTCCTTGGGCTTCTTTTTGCTCAAGGCTAGCTCTCTACCACTTGATCCACAATGCCACTTCCAGCTTTTTCTGCTTATGTGGTACTGAGGAATCGAACCCAGGGTTTCATGCATGCTAGGCAAGCATTCTACCACTAAGCCACCTTCCCAGCCCTAGGATTGATATTTTAATCCTGGAAGGACTTTAATGGAGATATGAACAAATGTATATTCTAGAAAGAAAGAAAAAACAGTCTTGCAGTCTGTGGGCTCAGAGGCAGGATGGCCAGTGGGGAAGCTGCCAGAATGGTACAGGTGGATATCTGGGTGGGTATGAACTTAATGGTGGCCATGGATAATGACAAGTGGGTGGATGGAGAGGCGTAGCAGGAGGGGACCTCAGGGAAGGGAGGGAGGGAGAGGCACTGCCCTCTGAGGAGCCTACCCTGGAAGAGGGGAGGGCTCTGACAAAGATGAGGTGAGCACAGAGAAGGCGAAGAATTCAAATCTGTGCGCAATGAATTGGGGAAGGGTCTCTGAAGGAAGCTCAGGGCGATCGCTGAAGCAAGAATTAGCTATGCTTCTGGTGTTTAGACACCAATGCTTTTCATCCATTTCAGCAAATGCTGGGTTCCCGTCAGGCACCAGTTCAAGGATGGTGGCGGTGCTCTCAAGGATTACATAGCAGTGAGAAAACACAAGCAATCAGTAAGATCTTGAAAGTTTCAAGTAATGACTGGTGTAACAAAAAATAAAATAAGACTAAGGAAAAACAGGGAGCTTCAGATGCAAAAGTCAGAAAAGGCCTCCCAGAGGAGAGAACACTTAAGCCAACTGCCAAGTTGGAGTCAGATGAGGGAAATAGAAAGAAGTGTGCGAGACAAAGAACAGCTTGTGCCAGGTGCTGAGTGGGCATGGCTTGGATACGATGGCTAGAAGGAGAGATAAAAGTCGCAATCACTGGTTGTTATAGAAGGTAGGTGGGACCAGACCATCTTAGGTGGAAAGTTTTTCTTTTTGCTTGTGTTTTGTTTTGTCAGTCCTAAGGCTTGAACTCAGGGTCTGGGTGCTGTTCCTGACGTCTTTTGCTCAAGGCTAGCACTTTATTACTTTGAGCTACAACTCTGGAGGTTAACTGGAGATAAAAGTCTCATGGACCTCCTTGCTGGAGCTGGCTTTAAACTATGATCCTTAGATCTCAGCCTCTTGAGTAGGTAGGATTACAAGCACCAGTGCCCAGCAGGTGGCAAGTTTTTAAAGCAACACTGAGAAAGTGCTTGGTGAACAATCCTAAGAACCAGGTATTTTTTTCGGGGGGGGGGAAAGGGGAGGGGTAGTCATGGGGCTTGAACTCTAGGTCTAGGCTTTGTTCCTCAGCACTTCGACTCAAGGAGAGTGCTCTACCACTTGGGGCACAGTACCACTTCTGGTTTTCTGGTGGTTTATTGGAGATAAGAGTCTCATGGAGGAAGTGGCGCTGTAGCTCAAGTGGTAGAGCGCTCGCCTTGAACTGAAGAGCTGAGGGACAGCGCCCAGGCCCAGAGTTCAAGCCCCACGACCGACACAAAAAAAAAAGAGTCTCATGGAGGGGCTGGGAAGGTGGCTCAGTGGTAGAGTGCTTGCCTTGCAAGCACTGGGTTCGATTCCTCAGCACCAGATAAGCAGAAAGATCCAGAAGTAGCACTGTGGCTCTAGTGATAGAGCACTAGCCTTGAGCTGAAGAGCTCAGGGACAGCATCCAGACCCTAATTCAGTCCCTACGACCACCAACAACAACAACAAAAAAAGAGAGTGTCAGAGTTTCCTGCCAGGGCTGGCTTTGAACCGTGATTCTCAGATCTCAGCCTCCTGAGTAGCCAGGATTACAGGTATGAGCCACCAGCACCCTGCAAAACCAGATACTTTGATGACTAAGGTGGCATCTATATGAATTATTCAAGAAGACATTTCAAGAAATGAGTTGGGGGTCAATTTTAGGGAAGTTTCAGGTTTTAACAGTCAAGTGACAGCAAAACAATTTCAATAATGGATCCTTTGTAAAACACACTTTTGTTTTAGGAATATGATTAATGACCAAGCTGATGTGTATTTGCCGGTCTTGAGACAGAAAACACAGTTCAGAGGAATGAGGGTAAAAGAAGAGAGGGATGAGACAAGAGTCCTCCCTTCCCTGGGGGGTTTTGGCTGTCTGTAGCAGTGCCAGTTCTCTGGCCACCGGGCAGCGGCACTCTGCCATTTCTCTAGAGCCAAGAGCCAGACCAGGCAGGAATCCACAGGCCTGGGCACGCTGAGCCTCTCCCCGTGGAAAGGAAGCCAGGATCCAGCCTGGCTGGGAGGCTGAGAGATGGAGGCCAAACCGATGAAAATGGGTCCAATGGGAACTGTGGATGGACACACACACACACACACACACCCCAAAGACCTGTGTCCTGCATCTCTGATTCAGTCCAGGGGAGACTTCCTTCCTAAGGTATACCTTCAGCTATGAAGATTCATGGCTCAGACAGACCTAACCAATCCCTCAGAGAGAAGCAGAGTTCCCTACCCCCAACATATCCACAGAAACAACTAGGCCTGGTGTAGCCACCCCTTCCACCCTGCTTCCTCTTGTGAACACCTCCACCTGCCCTGCCCAAGGCTCCACACCCTGCTCCTCACACCCAGACGCTTGATAATCTTCTCAACCCTTGCCCAGTGCCTACAACAATATCTCCACCTGCACAGCCCAGCCCAGTGTTCCTCTCACCCCACCCCAGAAAGCTTTCCCAGATTGATATGGGCCACCACCCAGGCCAACAGAGACATACTCTCTCGTCGCTTGTCTTATGGTATCCTGAAGCCTCAGCACACATGAACCATTCGTGGGCCTAGGGTTGGTGTGTCTTCAGTGACGAACCAGACCCTTGGGCCACCTCCCCTTCAAAAGAGACACCAGCTGCAAAGATGAAAGCATGGACCCATAGCGAGATGAGAAAGGAGCTCTCTTACTCACTTGATGAAGAACACAGCTCCTTCCTGGGTGGAATCCATCTCCCAGCCCTTAGGCAAATCTGCAAGAAGGCCAAACACTAGGTGAGAAGACCAGACCTAGAAGCAGCCTCTCCTCAGGCCAACCTGCCTATAGGATCAGGAAAATTCATTGATAAGCCACAGCATAGCAAAGCAACCATTTCACTTTCACTTTTTTTTTTGGTCAGTTGTGGGGCTTGAATTCTGGGCGCTGTCCCTGAGCTATTCAGTTCAAGGTAAGCACTCTACCACTTGAGCCACAGTGCCACTCTGGTTTTCTGAGTAGTTTGTTGGAGATAAGAGTCTCAAGGACGTTCCTGCCCGGGATGGCTTTGAACTGTGATCCTCAGATCTCAGCCTCCTGAGTGGCTAGGATTACAGGCATGAGCCATTGGCACAGGGCATTCACTTTTACTTTTTTAATCTATTACTTCTAATTTCCAGGAAGTAATGAGAGAGATAGGACATCTTTGGCAATGATAATGAGCAAAGAGTGGGCAAATGAAATCAATACTTGATAAATTCCTCATTCACTAAACAAATCTTTTCCAGGTGTCTGCACTGGGCCAGGCCCTGGGCCCACCCCGAGACACAGCAGCGACCACAGGGACGATCATCCTGGAAGGATCCTCAGGATCTTCAGCCAGTCCCTGCCCAGACCAGAGGCCGGGGCCAAGAGAAGGTGACTCACTCAGAGTTCACACATTGTTCGCACCAAGATCTGACTAGGACCCAAATCTGATTCCCAGGCCAGTGTTTTGACCTCCAGACTCTGCTGCTCCCACACCAGAGGCAGAGGACCCGGGAAATCAACCCCAGAAAACAAGAGACTTACTTTGTGCTCTTCAATAGCATCTCTGAAAAAAAAAAAAAGTTCTCCATGGAAATGCTGAAAGGAGAGTCACGGAATCTTAGAGTAACCAGGCCTGGAGGCAGCATAGGAGGCTGACCCTGGCCGCGGGGTGGTGCGGGCACAGTCCCTCCATGTCCACCGGCCTCTGTGAGGGGCTGACTCATCCTGCAGGCTGTCTCCAGGCTCCCCGCCTGTGTCCCTCCGCCAGCACCCTGGATCCCTCCGCGCTCCGGCAGAGGGGGCCTTCGAGAGCCCTGCGGGGACCCAGTGTTGGCCGGCCGGCCAGGGAGCTGGTCCAGACCATTCCTGTTGCGGGGCACAAGAGCCTCCTGATTGACATACTGGGAGTCTCTTGATCTTCACTGCCCTCGTTCTGATCAAGCTGAACACCTGCCTAGGCCTAAGGCCTGTACGATGCCGCCACCCTCTGCACACCTTCGGCCACGATATTGACCACTGTCCTCTCGGCAGCCGCCATTTTGACAGCCGTCATCATATTGACGCTTCTCTTTTGGCAGCTGCCATCTTGGCTGCCGCCTTCTTGACTGCTGTCATTTTGACCGTTGCTACCTTGATGGTTGGTATCTTGACAGCCACCATCAGATGGACAGCTGCCATACTGGTACTTGCCATCGTCACTGCCAGCATTTTTACTTCCGCCATCTTGACTTCCGTTAACAGCTGCCATCTTGACTCCCACCATCTTGACTGCCGCCGTCTTGACTGCCATCTTGACTGACAGCCGCCATCTTGCCCACACTGCAGAACTTGGATGGCGGGTTCTGCACACGCGGGTTTTATCCATTCGTTGCCTCACTTGTGCTTATCCGCGGTCTGTACTATTGTGATTGCTTCCGGTTGTGCGGTTGCTGCTTCAGCAAAGCAGGGCGGCTCATAGCCACACTCCTGCCTAGGACACGGCCCAGAAAGCCCAGCGGCGCGGGCTCGGTGCGCGCTCCCCTCCTCCAGGCCGGCACCCGCCAGCGCGTCTCAGGCGTGAGGCCCGGCGTGAGGTCACGCAGGAAGCGTCTGGCCGGGAGGGCAGTGCTGGTCCGCGCCCCCACAGCCCACACTCTCTCCTCTGTGCGGCTCCGTGAATGCTACTTGTTCCCCCCGGTCCCGTTAGGAAGATGCTTCCATTCAGAAGGGCGTGGGTTGGCAGCCTCCCCAAGGACAGGGATCCCCATTGGGTCAGAATCATTAAATAATCCTGCCACTGTGATGGCCGCCTGGGAAAGAGGCCAGTGTGGATTATGTCCTCTTGCCTTTTTCTAGCAACTTCCCTCCACACTGCCCTCTCTGCCTGGGCAACACCAAGAGCGCTTATATTCCTGTCCAGGCGGAGTGCCCGCCGAGGCAGCTGCCCTCCGGTAGCTTCAGGGGCATCTTAACCCATTCTCAGCCCAGGACAACCAGTTGGCTGCAGTTAAAAAGGACCGAATCGTCTCTCCGTTCCTTCTGCGTCTCTCAGTCCTACTGAGGGTGAGGCTGAGACAGGTAGACTGATGTGTACGCAACTGTGCCGCTGGAGGCACGCATAGCCCCATCTGCCAGGAGGAAATGCAGCCACGGACTTGCAGGCAGGAGGCGTGACTCACCTCAAGTTGGAAAGGTAGGAGTAGAGGTCACCTCCCTTTTGTGTGGAGTCTTTCTTGTGTAATGGTGAAGGTCCACCATCTTCTCCCTCAACTCTCCCCTCCCCCCATTATGCTGATGTAAAACAAGCCAAGTTCTAGAGGAGTCAAATCCTCTGCTCAAAACCAGGCAGATGAAAAGGAGGGCTGTGACTGGAACTAGGTCTCCGTGTCTCCAAAAACTGTGCATTTGACGATGACATCACTTTGCTTGTTAACCAAGTAGCCTTAAGTCAGGTTCTTTTTTTCTTCTCTTCTTCTGCTCCTCCTCTAGGATGGAGAAATTATATTCCATAGTCCCTGGAATCTCATCTAGCTCTAGAACATGATTCTAGTGCAGAATCTAAAAGAAATAGCCTCTGGGCAAGTCACATCTCTAACCCAGTGTGTCCAGCAAAACTGAGTAAGTCCCTTGAGTAACCACAGTTGAAATCAAATGCTTGGTATCTGGTGAGGTAAAGGCTGCTAGGATGGGAGATTTCCCCATGAGTCTATTTACATCTCCTCATCCTACTGGCCTCTGACAACATCAAAGAGAAACTGGTCTTTTATTGACTTGCAGTGGCCCAGGCCTTCTGGTTCCTGGTGTCTTCACCCTGGCAATTAATACTGAAACGTTTCCCTTTTTCTGACTTTATATTTTTGACTTGTCCACTCTCAGGAGATCCTGAGAGTGAATGAACAACCAGTGTTAGCCTTGCCCTCCCCTTTCTCTCCTTAGCTGAAGAAGTACCTAATCAGCCATCATTTAAATCAATTAAAGTGAACACTTCAGATCATCCATAGACTGCCTGAGATTTCCATTGTTCAGTAGCCACATGTTGCTAATGGCAGCCATCCTGGCAGCACAGGTGTGGAAGCCTGCAACCTGGCATGCGCGGGGGGGCTGGCTCTGCACAGGCCAGGGGTCTCAGGATAGAGGAGACTTTCTGGCTGGGCAGAAAGATGAAAAAGAAGTAAGGGGGGAGGGTTAGGTATGGGGGGGAGGATAGAATGGGAAGGGGAAACAAAGGAGGAGGCTACAATGTTTGGTAAGAAATGTACTCATTATCTTGCCCATGTAATTGTAACCCCTCTGTACAGTATTTTCACAATAAAAAAAAAGAAATAAGATTTTTGTCCTTGAGGTCTTCCCAATACACTAATGGTGAAGGTAGAAACTTGGAAAGAGCCAGAGGTATCCTATAATATCCCCAGATGATGGCCAGCACAGTCTGCAATGGAAAGGAGGAGGACAGAGCACAGCCAAGCGCTCTTCCTGCTGTCACTTTGAGCTATTGTTCCTTCCTTTACTGCAAAGATACAGCAGGTCACTCCTTACCTGGACTAAAGCAGTGTCCACTTTGAATGGGAGAGTCTGTACCAGGGTGCACCCAGCTGGTTGACTTTTCCTCATCACTATGGAAGGACAAATAAGAAAGGGTCAGTGTTTTCATGAGCAGGGATTCCATCTCCAAATTCACACCAGCAGCCACTGTCTGTTCAGGACAATGAGCATGTCCACATTCATTTTCACTCACACAGCCAACTCTGATCTTTGGGCTCAAAGAATTTTTTTTTTTTGTCGATCATGTAGGCCTGAACTCTGGGCCTGGGTGCCATCCCTGAGCTCTTCAGCTCAAGGTTAGCATTCTACCACTTGAGACACAGTGCCACTTCTGGCTTTTTCTGTTTATGTGGTGCGGAGGAATCGAACCCAGGGCCTCACGCATGCAAAGCAAGCATTCTTACCACTGAGCCACCTTCCCAGCCCCTGGGCTCAAAGAATTTATAACTGGGGAACCAGATGCATTAAAAAGATGGTGGCAATACCGTATACCTGGAAATATACCCAGTGATTCTCACTTTATCGGAAGATAAAGTGCTGGGGGAAGGAGGGGTCGTGAAAGGGGATGAAGGAATGGTTACTGAGGAAGTTGGGTGGAAGGAGCAGGGAGAATCCTCAGTTTGGAATGCCTCAGATGCATGAGATGAGAAGCTGTGTGAATAAGAGTCCTAGGTTTCTGAAATGCTACAAATTAAAACAGAGTAAAAGGAAGGGAGACAGAGAGGGAGGTGGGGGAAGGAAGGAAAGAGAAAGAGGGATGGAGAGAAAGGGAGGAAGGCAAGAAGGGAGGAAGGGGTGAGAGGGAGGGAAAAATAATTGTTACTATTGGATATTTAACCATCAGAGCCATAGGGCTCCCCTACTTAAGCCATACCCCTAGACCTTTTGCTTTTAGTTTTGAGGGGGAAGGGTCATAGGGCTTGAACTCTGGGCCTGGGCGCTGTCCCTGAGCTCTTCAGCTCAAGGTGAGTGCTCTACCACTTGAGCCACAGCGCCACTTCTGGTTTTCTGGTGGTTAATTGGAGATAAGAGTCTTGTGGACTTTCCTGCCCAGGCTGGCTTTGAACTGCAGTCCTCAGATCTCAGCCTCCTGAGTAATTAGGATTACAGGCATGAGCCACTGGCATTCAGCTAGCTTGTCTTTCTGATAGAGTCTCTGACTAAATTTTCTCAGGCTGTCCTCCAGCCATGATTCTTTTACTTTTCTACCTCCTGAGAGGCTGAAATTACAGGCTTGCTACAGTGCTGCAAATTTTCATTTACATCATTCCTTCACTTTAAGAATTTGATAGATTTTGAATTTAGGGTTCAGAGAAGCTAGATGTCTTGCCCAAAGTTATACCAGTAAGTGATGAAAGCCAGATTTCAGACCTTGATCCAGTTCCCACAAATCCTAAGCTCTTTCTAGAATCTCACACCAGAAAGGTGGCTTTCCCAGCAATGCAGACCCCCTGGGCTCTGAACCTGAGAGTGTGGAAGCCCATCCACAGCCCTCCATTCCACCAAAGTAACACAGATTCTTCCAGATCCAATCCAGCATGTGACAGCTGCTGGTTGTGGACTATTCAGGTATGTGGAAGACGTAACTCCCTAGTCACCTGGATCATCCAGGCTTTAAGGTGAGGTTTGAACCCCAGACAAAACTCTATTTAGTGTCTTTAGGGCATAATTGACATATAATTAGCTCCACTAAGAAATACTCCACTAACATTTTTATTGAACTAGCGTATATAATACACATATAAAGTATATGATTTACTGAGTTTTGACATATGCATACATCTAAGAAAGTTATCACCAAATCAAAACATGGATCTCCTAAAACTTTTTTTGTGCCCCCTTTGCAATTTCCCCCTCCTTCCACAGGGATATCTACTTTCTATCACTGCAGGTAAGTTCACATTTTCTAGTTTTATACAAATAGAATCATAAAAGGTAAACTTCATTGTCTGATCTCTGTCCTTCCTTCTTTATTTCCCTTTTTCCTTCCATCTTCCCTTTTCTCCTTCCTTCCTTTCTTCTCTACCTCTTTCCTCACTCTCTTCCCCCATCCCACCCTTTCTTCTGTATGGTGGCATATGTTATAGTTCAAGACTTGTAATTCATAGTATTGTATTGTAGAATATACTCAGCTGCTGATGGATATAGGGGCTGTTTTATAACAGTTTTACAGATAAATCTAATTTTTAAAAATGTGTGCATCATGTGGATGTGTTTGTTTCTCTTTACTGGGTTAGTTTTTCTCTGAAGTTGGACACCTGCTGTAAGAAGAGACTTCTCAGTTCACCCACCAATATGATGAGCAAAAAGAAGCAAAAGTCAAGGTTCTGGTGAGCCCTGAGTCTTGGAACCCTTGTTAGTAGTCCCGTATGGGGCCTCCAGCCATGGCTTTGGTCTTGGTTGCCAGTGGAAGGGGAAAGCAAGGAAGGGGAAAGGTTTGAGGGAAAATCAGGCAGTGTCTTCAACCCCTGCCATCTCCTTTCCAGCTGCCCTAGCCCTCCCCTCCTCACACTCCATTGGCTCTCTCAGATTTTCCCATGTGTCTCCACCCTGCCTGAAGGCCACAGACAGCCCCACCACAACCTGACTTCCATCACCACCTCACTTCCTCTTCTTGGGCTTCCATGGTCCAGCCCTTGTCAGCCTGGGCCATGAGGCTGTCTCCCTGCCCACGCTAAGCTGCTGAGGAAGCTGGACTTAGGAGGGCTTGTGTTACTACAAAGCCACAGTCTGAAGGCCTGGCTGGGCCTGGAGAGCCACACAGAATTTCTTTCAAGATTCCCTCTTAGCTGCCATTTGAAGACTATTCTAGAACTTTCCCACCAACTTTTACTCTGCCTCTTCTACCCACCATTCCTACTCTCTACTACTGATCTCTTATTTTGAAGACAAAATGAGAATCCTGAGGCTTCCCTGGTGCATCCTCCATCCTAACCCACCTCACACTCATCCATTTTCAACTTGGGTCTTTACATTAGAGAAAAGGTATCTTTCCCCATGTAAGGCTAATTTCCCTCTGCATGGCTTCTTGTTCCTGACTTGTCCTGTTCTCCATAAACCTCATTTTGTTGCCCACACCAGACTGGCAACACCAACTTCTTTCTCTCTGCTTTCCTTCCACCCCAGTCCATGTCTCCCACAGTCTAAGCACCGAGCCTCCCTCTCAAGATCATCTCCCGTCCAACTTCCTGTCTCACTCCTTCCCTGCCAAACAAGCTTGTGGTTTCTGGTTTCTTGGTATTTTTTTTAAATTTGTGTGTGTGTGTGTGTGTGTGTGTGTGTGTGTGTGTGTTGGTTCTGGGGCTTGAACTCAGGGCCTAGGCCCTGTCCCTTTCCTTTTGTGCTCAAGGCTCATACTCTACCACTTGAACCACAGCTCCACTTAAGAATCTCATGGGCCAGGCACTGTGGCTCAAGCCTGTAATCCTAGCTACTCAGGAGACTGAGATCTGAGGATCACAGTTCAAAGCCAGCCCAGGCAGGAAAGTCCGTGAGACTCTTCTCTCCAATAAACTACCAGAAAACTGGAAGTGGTGTTGTGACTCAAGTGGTACAGTGCTAGCCTTGAGCTGAAGAGCTGAGGGACAGAACCTAGGCCCAGAGTTTAAGTCCCATGACCGACCCAAAAACAAAAAACAAAACCGATTCAGGGTCAAGAACTTAACGAGAGTTCATTTCTAAGATAATACAATTATAGCCTGCATTTTGATAATGATAGTGATAATTAAAGAAGAAAGGCCTAGACACGTGTACAAACTGAGAAACACCACAGAGAAACCATTGCCTGTCTAAGCTCCTAGGAAGGCAGCGGGTACCTAAAGTCTGAAGATGGACGCCAGGCTTCACCCCAGCTCTGACTGACAAGTGGTATTATCTTTGACAAGAACTTTTGATCTCGTTGGACCTCAGATCCCCATTAAAATAAATCTGGGGCTGTTTCCATGGTCCCATTAGCTCTCCTGCTCTCTGAGTGACTGACTGCTTACCTTGAGAAAGGGAAAACTTGTCTAGTGTGAGTCACGGTCCAGAGTGCTGTGCTTCTAGACTTGCTATATCATTGGGAGATTTCTCTCTTGGCAAAAGATGAGTGTAAGAGAAGCGGGCCAAAAGAGGGTTGAGCAGGGCCACTTTGTTATAATGAGATTATGCCACAGCCATTTGGGTTTATGAAATTAATACAACAGTACTAATATATTACTAAGAGCAGTGAAGGCTCTGCCTCCCTGAATGCTGCACACACAGTGGGCATGGAGCTGCTCCTGCCTCTTGACCACAGCCCCAGAAAGCAGCAGGAAGGGGACAGGAATAGCACTCCTGGACACACTGAATTCTGGGGAGGGGAAAATACCAGGAACTGGATGGTGAAGGCATGGTTACTGAGCCCAAGTCTTCAGGTAGAAGTGAGAGGTGGGGGCGGGGGAGCGGGTGGCAGAGATCTACTTGGCTTCTCTCAGCAAAAGGATCTTGAAAGCAGGCAGGCTGGGCAGGTGGCTGGGGGGTCCCCTCCTGCCACCTCTGGGGGTGGGGCAGGGGGGTGAGGTTGCAGCTCCCTGGCCCTGCTCCTGCCATTCCAGCCTAGGGAAGGCTGAGCCTCTGCTGGACTTTGACCCATTGAGGAAAAAGCGGGAGACACATTCAAACAGACATCTGATAAGTGTAGGCAGATTGCTTTCCTCCACCCTCCAATCTGCCCCCCACCCTGATACCTTTCAAGTTGCACAACTTTAAGGTGAAAGAAAGAGGGAGGGAGGAAGAAAGGAAGGAAGGAAGGAAAGAGAAAGAAAGAGAGAAAGAAAGAGAGAGAGAAAGAAAAGAAAAAAGGAAGAAAAAGACCTACGTACTTGATGAAGAACACTCTCCCTCCACGGTCCACTCCGTAGGTCCACCGGCCGGGCAAGTCTAGCCAGTCAATCTCATCGGCCATCTCGGCTCCCGCAGCGCCTCTCTCTCTCTCTCTCTCTTTCTCTCTTTCTCCCCCCCCCCTCCCCGCTTTCCCTCCCTCCTCTGTCTCCCTCTTCTCTCTCTTCTTTCCCTCCCTCTCCCTCTCTCTCGCTCCCTCTCTCTTCCTCTGCTCACTCTCCCTCTCTCCCTCTCTCTCTCTGCCCACCCCGCTCCGGCGCCAGCCTGGCGCCCCCCACTTTGCGCGGCGGGGGTCGCGTGGGTCCGCCCGGCTCCCCG